CACCAAGTAATGGTAAATCCATCCAGGGCGAGGCCACTGCATACAGCCGTGCCAGGCTAGGGGACAAGTGGGGACTAAAATCCAGCTCCACTAGGGCCCCTTTGATTAATGTACAAATGTGCCACCTGGGCCAGTGGTGAGCCATCCTAAGATTTATAATTCCATGTGATTGTTTCTGATGGGATGTTAGATGGTGTCCAGCCCCAGACATCTTATCTGTGAGCTCTGGAAGCATCCTTCAAGACTTTTCTCCTTCTGATCTTTCCCTGCCTTCAGACACAACATATATTCTCTCCAAGGAGCTGACAGTTTCCAGATGCAGAGGAACATGAGGGAGACAAGCTTCAAGTTGGGGTATAGCTGAGCCACTGAGTAGTGGGAGGTGATTACGTGAAAAGGGCACAATCTTATCCTCTCTATGGGTTTTACAACCTTGCCCACCAAACACGTTCTCTAGCATCTTTTCAGCAGAGCCTTGGTCTTCATCATGTCAATATATGACCTTTAAAAAGGACATACATTCTGAGTACGTGCCCAGGGAGGATGACCTCCCCTGAGCTACCTCCCAAATAAGGCCCCCCGGGGCTGGGTGGGGAATTCTGGAAGGGATGGAGCACTTCTCCCATGGGGGCTCCCAGTGACTATTAGATCCTGTCCCTCTTCTGTTCGCAGGCTCGGCGTCTGCCCTCAAGGGGAGAGAAGCCCACGCGTCCTCAGGTCCACTTACTTATACCCAATGTCGCACGAGTCCTCCCTGTCCATGAAGTGGGACTGGATATCGCGGACCAGCACGCGGCACTCATCAGACTTGTTGCAGGTGCGCCCCGCGGTGTGGATGATAATGACGTACTTAGCCGGGAGGTTCATCTTGGCGCAGTGGGTCTCCCTGGCCTCCCACACAGACCGCAGGACAATGAGGGGGCAAGCTGCAGCAGGGCCAAAACATGGGAGTGAGACTCCCTGTGCCCGCCCACGTCAGCCACCTCACTGCTGAGCATCCCACCGCCTCTGGGCAGCCTGACCGGACCGCCACTGTGGACCTCGGGGAGCCCTGCAGCTGTGGGGGCCCACCTGGGAGCGGGGTATGTTTGTACCCGGGGAGTAGGCTGAAGAGGCAGGAGCCAAGAATCACAGGTTCCAACCAAAAACACAGGACCCAGAGGGCAACAGGAATGTTGATCCTGAGGGGATGTGGATGCTTTATTCCAGGGGTGAAGTGTATTTATTTATCTACATGATTGGTATGTGTATGTGTGTGTGTGTACATGCGTAACAGGGTCTTTTGGAGAAATTAGTTGAATTTTGGGGGGTAATTAGGGGTTTTTTTTTTAATGGAGGTACTGGGGTTTGAACCCAGGACCATGTGCATGCTAAGCATGCACACTGTCACTGAGCTACACTCTCCCTGCTCTGAATTTTCATCTGAAGGCACATTTGAGAATCACCTGCAGTCCAGAGAAGTCAGTGTCAGTGTAAGCAAATGCACTGACAGATGACACCCATCCAAAGGCAGAGATCAAACTTATTCTGAGCTTTAATATAACAGAGCTAGTTTTCTTGAAAACTTATTAAGTGCAAGAGAAGGCTTTAAGTGCCTATTAACTATACTGGTTTTGATTTTGCTGCTTGTTAAACCCCAACTCTGCCTTTTATCTACCTTTTGCTACCTGAATTATGCTGAATTATGCTCTTCCTCCAAGTCAATACCAACTAAGCGGTGACTTAGGCACTTGCATCTCCTGGTGCTGCTCCAGCTTTTACATTCAGAAAGGTGTGCGTTTGTGCTTGTGCGTTTGTGGTTCCCATCCCACCCCATGCTTTCTTCCCTCCACAGCGCTTTTCAGCATCTAACACAGCAACCATTCCACTTGTTTGCTTATTGACTTTCTCTCCCCTCCAGACTTGGTACATCCTCAGTGACTGGCAGGTGCTCGGTAAATAACTGCTGGACGATCGAAGAATGAGTGGCCGCACAGAACACCAGGCCCAGAGCCGTGGCTCTGCCTTGCTAGGAATCTGAGGGACAAGCAGGTGACCTGAGGGTCCCTCTCGGGGTTTACCAGCCCTGAAGCTTCAGAGAGTTGGGAGACCAGTTGCCTCTCAGAAGGAATCCAGTGAGAGCCTGACTGAGAAGGTCATATTCAAGGGCATTTGGAAGTTAGTGGGGGGGGATCTGGAGGGAAGCCCAGTAGGACCGAAGGTCTTACCTTTCTTGGGACTTGCCTTCTGCTGAGGGGCCAGGCAGCTCTCGCCTTTCACAAGAAGTGGCTGAACATACGTGGGAGACAGGTGGCCCCTCTGGACAGCAGAGGAGATCAGGCCCTTCATGGCTGCCCGGGCGGCTGGGCTGGGGCTGTGGCCTGGAAGAGAGCGATCCTTGGGACACCTCAGTCTGGCCTGAGTGGCGGGGGTCTGTCGGGGGCCTGCATAGCTATTGGGGGTTGGGGGAGGAAGGAGAACAGACCCATCCCGAAGTCTGGAAAGCCTGAAAGTCAAGGATCAACCTGGTGCTCACTTCGGCAGCACATACACCAAAATTGAGAAGATTGACAAGGCCCCTGCACAAGGATGACACACAAATTTGTGAAGTGTTCCTTATTTTTCTGCATAGCTGGGACATGATGCTATACACCAGAAATTGACCTATTATAACTGACTGTACTTCAGTTTAAAAAAAAGGATCAACTTGGACAGAGCTCTCAGTGGTCCAGGAAGACTTTCCCCATGACCCACCCATCCTCACTCATCCCCACTCTCTCTCCAGGTTGATCCTTGACTTTCAGGCTTTCCAGGGGAAGAGCTGTCCAGCAGCGCCGCGCACGGGAGGGCCCAGCTGGCTGGGTCAGGGGCCCTTCCCGGCCTGTGCCAGCCTCCTCACCTGCCTTAACTGCTTCCATCCTAACCACAAACCTCTGAGGCAGATGCTGTTATTAACCCCACAATTCACAAAGAGGAGCTGGAGGCTCCAGCAAGTCACGAGCTCAAGATCCCACAGCTAACAAGGGGCTGTCCAGGAGGCAGAGTGGTCATGAAAACCAGCCAAGCTGATCACCAGGAGTCCTCCAGCATGCCGGAAACCGCCCTGGAGCTGGCGATGGAGGGGCTGGGCTCGCCTTCTGATTCTCCTCCTTACGCTGTCTCAACTGGACGACTAACCTCTCTGAAACTCAGGCTGCCCCTGGCACAAGAGTAATCATGAAACTGATCTGGACGATCTCAAGGGTATTGGGAGGGAACAATGAGAAACAATGTGCAAGAGCTTTGTTAATTGTAAGGGTGCAGGAATTCAGTGGATGTTGAGAGGCAGGTGGAGTGGCAGCAATTAAACCAGAAGACAGTGGAAGGGACTCAGGGAGTGGAGGCCTCAATGTGGCCTTTTAAATCGAATAGAGAATCTCAGAGTAAGGAGATGGAAGGAGGAGGTGGCTGGCATGAAATGGGAAAGCCCGGCCTGGTGCTACAGAAGCGTCCCAGCTAGAGAGGAAGATGTGATGGTCATTGACTCAGAAGTGAGAACTGCAGCCCAGACCCCTCCCAGACGAGAGTGGGAGCAGGATGGGCAGCCCCTCCCCAGAGGAAGAGGAGCCTCTCCGGAGGCTGGGAGGAAGTCAGCGTGGTAGGAGGAGGGCCGTCGGTGCTGTTCACAGAAGTCAGGGGAGAGGGGGGTTCCAGGACAGAGTGGATCACCGCGAGGATGAAGAGGGTGAGGAGACAGCGTGGGACAGAGAAATAGCCGACTCCATGGAGAAGGGCAGCTGGGGTGACCACTACCTTCCTTGGTCCCAAAGAAGGCGAGGCCCAGGGAGATGTTGTTGTAGCCCTGGGTGTGCATGCCTTGCACGTCCCAGCCGGCACCTTCGTACACCCGGCCATCATCACCAACCAGGAAGCTGTGGAGAGGGAAATGCAGGCTTAGAGGCTGGCACTGGGCACATCCCTGTGAGAGGAACCACTGACCCCGCGTCCAAAGGAGGGTGGCCAAGCCACGCCTCCTAGAGGGGATTGGCATGGACCCGCCCCAGGCAGTGGAGAGATCAGGTCTTCAATATTCCTCCCTAGAATTCAGAAAAACCCGCTCCCGCACCCCTCACCCCCCTCCCCTGTTCAGACTCCCAGGTTTTATATAAATCATCCTGCAAGCTCCGAAAGAGAAGAGGTCCTGGAGCCGCCCCAGTAGCTAACCCAGACCCAACCACTCAATGTAAGATTCTGCTCAGCCTCCACATTGCCTCAAACGTGGCTCTGCTCCTTCCTCCAAAATTCACACTGTCTTTGTGACCTCCACACAAGGTGTTCATGTGCTTTCTCTCTGCCAGGGTGACCTCTTACACAGACTTCCCAGGAAGCAGCTTCTCAGACAAGGACGTGGATGCAGGCAGTTTACTTGGGAAGGGACCCCAGGAACCAGAGTGAGGAGCCAGGGGAGGGAGACAGAAGGAAGAAACTGGACAGTGTGAGGAGTGGGCTGGCTTCACAGCAGCCACCGGGGCTCAGCATGACCCCCCGACACGTGAGCTTCTGAGGAGCCATGTACTTAGAACTCAGAAGGGAGGGAGGCTGAGGAACTTGTCCAGCACCTGCCCTCTGAGGGGTCTACCATCAGGGACTTCAGTGAAAGCCCAAAGCAAAGGAGCAGAGAGACGCGGGGCCCTCGCGCTGGGGCGCCTTCCCCACGCGCCAGAAGCGTCCGCAGCTGCCCAAGTCAGACATGGGCCGAGGGGTGTGGGCCTGGGCACCACGAGGGCCTGCCACAGTGACCGTCAGGGGAAGAGTTGGACGCCTGCCTCGCCAAGCTGCAGGCCCCGATGTGTGCTGTAGATGGACAAAGGGACAGTTCTGAGCCAGCTTGGCCCCACGACTTTATGGCAGTGTGACCTTGAAGAGACTGAACAACCTCCCTGCCTTGGTCCCCTGGCCCGTAGCATGGAGACGGTGATACCGGCTCAGCCAACGTCATGCGCTGCCAGGGGCAGATGTACCCATGGACCGGAAGTCACCCGTAACCTATAATGTGCTGTGTGAACCGTTAAGAGGCGAACAGAAAATAAAGTCACTACTTGGGCAAACCTCTGGCCAGTCTAACTAGGAAACAGAGAGGTGGAACCCATAAACCATTGAAAGGCATCGGAAGGAAACATGATTTCAGATGAAGAATAAATTAAAAATAATAAGAGGATATTAGGAGCATTTTTGGCCAATAATTTTGAAAATTTAAATCAAGTCAAATTTTAAAAATTTAAATCAAGTTTGCACAATTTTCTACACTTACAAGTAATAAAATCTGACTCCAGGAGAAATAAAAAATGTGAACAATGCTGTAACCATTTAAAAACTGAATTGGTGATCAAAAATCTTTATATCAAAGAAATAACAGAGCCAGACTTTAAAAAAAAGTGGGAAGGGGACATTTCACCAGACATTTTAAGACTGAATAATTTCAATCCAACACAGACTCTTCCAGAGAGCAGGAAAAATACCCATACTCCCTAACTCATTTTTAACGAAGTTGCTTTATTCTTGGTACCCAAACCAAAGGCTGTTGAAGAAAGGGAAATACAGGCCAATCTTTTTCATAAACAAAATGTCAGCAAATTGAATCCGACAATTCATATGAAGGATAATACATCGCGACCAGCGTGGATTTGTCCCAGGAATGCATTAGAAACTCGAGTGATGTAATTCATCACATTAACAGATAAAAGGAGAAAAGCCGTATGATCATCTCAATTGATGCAGAAAAAAGTGTTGGATAAAATTCACCCTCCATTCATGATTTCTTAAAAAGTCCAAGCAAACTAGGAATTTAAAGTCTCTTAACTTAATAAAAGGTATGTATTTTTTAAAAAGAAAGAAAGAAAGTATAGTCATTAGTTAACCTCCCTTGCTTCTTTTTGGATCTGAGTCAAAGACCTCATAGAATTTCATAGTTTTGTCCCCCCATTTTATGCGTTATAAACCGGATATAACCACAACCCAGAAAATGAGGGAAACAGACATGAGAAGAGGCGAGGGAGGCGCCCCCAGGCGCGGCTGCGCACGCGGGCCTCCAGCCCAGCCTCTTACTTGTAGGCCACGTCGCACCAGCCGCTGCGCACGTGATGAGCCTGCAGCTCCCGCAGCCTCTGACTGCACGCGGTCTGGTTGTGACATTCCAGTCCAGGGACGTGGTGCGTGACGAGGAAGTTCACCGGCAGGGCCAGCTGGGTGCTGCAGCTAACAGCGTCCGCCCCCCACTCCTTTCGAGAGACGGTGGTGGAGACACCTGGGCGAGGTGGGGGATGTGGGGGTGTCAGTCGGTACACCCCGCCTCACAGCTGCCGCACTGGCCCCCTGGGCTGCACGTGCCATTCTGGGCAGTCTGCCCCGTGATAGGGGAGGAGCCTTAGGGGGAGGCCTTCAGGGGACAGGTACACCCTCCTCATCCCACCTCCCCCTCCGCTTTTCACCACGCCTACCCCAAAGCAGGGTCTTCAGCCGCCAGAGCAGCCTAGATGCTCTGCTCCCCATCCCAGGACGTCCCGCTCCGGGAACAGAGTGGGGGCATTTGCTAGGCCCATGCTCCTGTGTGAGGGACCTGGGGATGCTGACTGACTTCCCACCCCCAAGGAACTTTCTCTTATTGACAAGATTAACCCCAGTCATAGGTTGACTCTGATCAACATAATAATAGCACAAATAGAATCACTGCCCCACTGCCCAAGTGCTAAGTTCTTCATGTGCATTATCCCCTTCGATTCTCACAATAAGTATAGATCATAAGCTTATCTCAACTTTCAGGTGGGAAAAATTAAGGTTTAAAGGGTTGAATAACTTTAGATAAAAAACAAATTTCTTCTGCATAGCACAGGGAATTATATTCAATATCATGTAATAACCTTTATGAAAAAGAATATGAAAATGAATATATGTATGTATATGCATGACTGGGACATTAGGCTGTACACCAGAAATTGACACATTGTGACTGACTACACTTCAGTTTAAAAAAAATAGAGTTGAATAACTTATTTAAAATCTTTGCTGGAAGTAGGGCAAGGACTTGCAGTCAGGTCTACAGACTCCAGGTTCTATCCTAAACGCAAAGCTATTCTTCCTCCGTAAGGGAGGACAGGCACTTAATAAATTCCTGTTATGAACCTTTAGGATGATCCATCTCAGTTACTTTCTGAGCCGACATAGGAAAACTCACCCCAGGCCCTAAGACCCAGAGCAAAGAAGACAAGAAGCCACCACAGCATCCTCATGTGGTCCCAGGACGCTGATGTCGGAGTGTGATCCTCGGCCCTGGGAGAGATGCTGACAGTTAACTCGACCATATTAACTGCTCAAATGGGGCACACACCCCACTGCACCACTCTGTCTGCCCTACTGAGGGCCAGCACCTGGCCAGGCTCCTCCAGGACCCCAGCAGGTGTCAGGTGTTCACTGGATGGGTAAACACTCTCATCCTGTTGCTCTGGGCAACTCGATTTCATCGAATGCTTCCCACGTGCCTGTATAGACACTCACACACATGCATTTAACCCTCACAGCAACCCTGCAGTTATAGAATTGCTAATCCCCATTCTTACAGAAGAGGGCTCTAAGACCCAGGAATAGCAGGACTGAGACATCCAAACTCACTTCAGTAGGCCTAGGGCGGAGAACGTCTTCCCAGTTGGGGATAGAACGGGTTGGGGAGGGTACAAGAATTAGAGGAGGGGGCGGGGTCCCAGTTCTAGGGCAGAGGAAATCTGATATTAACACTCCATCTTGAGTCCAGTCCCTCCGATAGGAGAGGACTTCTCAAGAAGAAACGCACTCACACGCACACTCGGAAATACCTGTGGGTCCCTGCGGTCCCAGCCCCACGGGTCAGGCTGCAGGAGGCTCACCCCTCATTGGCTGGCGGTGCCTCCCTTTCAGTCTCGGCCTCCGGCCCCGCCCTCCTTCTCCAGCTGCCGCCTCCTGCGGCCTCACTCTCCGTCCACTAGAGGGCGCTCCCTCCCCGGGAAAGGAGCACCGGGCCCGGCTTTCCAGAGAGAAAGGGAAAGGCCAGGAGCCCCAGCAAAGGGGGAGAGGAGGAGGAGGGCAGGGCTCTGAGGCTCGGAGGTTCTGAGGCTCTGAGCCGCTCTGGGCACAGTGCACAGCGCCGAGATGAACTCAGGTGAGACCAGACGGGTGCTGACAGCAGGGGCGCCGCCCTGTGAATCAGCCCAGCTGCCTCCACCCTGGGAAAGGACGTGCTTGCCCAAGGCTCCCTGAGCTGCTTCCTCATCCCCAGCCTCCAGGAAGCCCGGCCAACCTGGGGACCTGGGGGTCGTGTCCTGACCTCTGGGAACTTCCTGCCGGTGGGGACAGATCTGCTCCAGGGGTCTGAAGGCTGTGGCTGGAGGTCACTCACCAACACCTTGCCTCCCCTCCAACCGCCCCCCCCAATCCCCACCACCAGGCTCACCAGCAGGGGCAGGATGGGGGCAGAGAGATAGAAAAGTGCATTCCAGGAGGCAGCACACACTGCGTCCTCATTATTAGAACTTCTTCCAGCCCAGTGGCCAACTCGGCCATTCACCCACCACCCGCACCTCAGCCTCAAACAGTCACCCACCCAGGAAGCCTCCCACAGACCGAGACGTCCCAGCCCCTCAGCCACTCTCAGTGCAGAGGGCACAGTCCACCCCTACCCCTACCAGGCCCCGCAGTCTGTGGCTCTGGCCGCCAGACCTCTTGCATCTCCACGGAGGAAAACCCACGTGCCGCTTTCCACCAGTGCAGCGGGACATGTGTCTCCCCGGGGACCTGCAGGGGCTCCCAGCCCCCGGTGGGTGGGGCAGCCTCCTGAGACTGCTGAGGGAATGCCCCAAATCCAGGCCAGCTGCCCTTGGCGGAGCTGCAGAGTCGCCCTGGGGGGACAGAATAGCTTCCTGGAAAGGGCCCCTCGAATTAGCCTGCTCTCCTCCCGAGCCGAGCCACCAGGCCCGGGGCTGGGAGGGTGGAGAGAAGGGGCCTGGGCCAGGGGTGTGGGGGAGCAGGCCTGCAGACAGATGAGGGGGTGGAGAGCTGTAGCCTGGGGGCGGGGACTGCAGGGCCCTGAGTTTCCCCCAACCTGCTGTGGGGTTTCCCAGGCCCCGCTGTCTCCCCTCCGACCAGCGCGGAATCTGTCAGTGAGGCCTGCGGGCCGCTCCCCGGGCGTCAAGTGAGGGGTCTGAGGAGAGCGGTTCCCCTCACGGAGGGGCTGGGGGGCGAACTGGAGGAGGGACTGGGTGGTGGCCGCCTAAGAGAGGAGGGGGAGCAGGTAGGGCCTGGTCAGCCCAAGACCAACAAATTCTTAGGGACTAACAGGCAGAGGGGCTCCCTGAGGCAAACCCCTGTTCTGGAGAGCGAAGCAGGGCGGGCCCTGCTCTCTGGGTCTGTGCACTTAGGACCAAAATCCGAACAGGACCCACTAAGTTCTGAGCAGCCCGGCCCTGGTCGCCCTCCCCAGCCTGCCCTCGCCTCTCTCCGCCAGAGCAGCTCCCTTCCTCCCCCGGGCCAACAGGCCCCGCTTCAGCCTGGCTGCTTCTGAGAGGCCTCCTGTGGAAAAGAAGGAAGGAAAAAGAAAAGCAGGCGGGCACACAGGCTGCTTTAAGGATGGCATTGCCGGAGGCCATTGTTCTCAAACCTGGGGGGCCCTGAGACCCTGCAGGCGCTCCTTGAGGGCAAAACTATTTCCAGAATAATATACCCTGAACCGCCCACCACGGGAAGCCTCCCTCCCACCAACCAAGAATCCTCAGGTCCACCTCCCCAGGGCGCTGATATGTACACTGGTGGCACAAAACCACAGTGGGTAAGGACTGTCAGGGTCTTAGCCAGAGCCAAGGCGGTGGCAGCAAACTGCACTGGCAGTCAGTGTGTTCCTCGCCAGGTATTCTTTCAAAATGAAAAAAACATAAAAAAAAATAGTTTCGCTTGAAAATGCTTCTTGATGAAGCAGTGAAAATTATTTATTGTATTAAATCTCAACCATGATTGTCTCCAGGAAAAGCACTTGTGTGATTAAGTGGTGAGCTGAACTAGCCACTTTTCTCATAAAACACCATTTTTACCTGAAAGAACAAATAACAGCTAAACTATGGATATTCATTCTAGGCTATATAAGGCAGACATTCTCTAGGAAATGAACAGAGTGAAAGTTTTACTACAAGGAGAACAACCAACAAGATGTGTTCATGTAATAAAGTTGGGACTTTCAAGAAGAAATTAGGATTTGAAAATTCTGTGTCTGCCATCATGAGTTTGACAGTCTCCCAACACTTAAAGATTTTTCTGATGAGTTCAGTGGTGATATTAATAAATGTGACTTTATGTATGTATATCATATTAGACAATGAAATGTGTCAGCATTTGGAAGATGTAGATAAGTCAGTGAATTGATGTTTTCCAAATGACCCATATAGTCAGTTACAAAACCATACAAGATCCATTCAAGTTTCATGATAGGCCAATGGATTCTAATGTAACAAAGAATTCATTGATGGTGCAGCCATTATGAGGAAAACAGTATGGAGATTCCTCAAAAAAACTAAAAATAGACTTACCATATGATCCAGCAAGCCCACTCCTGGGTATATATCTGTAGGGAACTATAACTTGAAAAGATACATGCACCCCAACATTCACAGCAGCACTATTTACAATAGCCAAGACATGGAAGCAACCTAAATGTCCATCGGCAGATGACTAGATAAAGAAGTTGTGGTATATATGCACAATGGAATACAACTCAGCCATAAAAAAGAATGAAATAACGCCATTTGCAGCAATATGGATGGACCCAGAGAACATCATTCTAAGTGAAATAAGTCAGAGAAAGAATAATACCATATGATATCAGTTATATGCAGAATCTTAAAAAAAGACACAAATGAACTTATTTACAAAGGGGGGAAAGGGAGTGAGGGGGGTAAATTGGGCACTGAGATTTGCAGATACTGTCTACTATATATAAAATAGGTAAACAACAAGGTCCTACTGTATAGCACAGGGAACTATATTTGATATCATGTAGAAACCTATAATGGAAAGGAATATATGCATGTATCTGTATGACTGAAACATTATGCTGTCCACCAGAAACTGACACATTGTAAACTGACTATACTTCAATTAAAAAAAATTCATTGATATGGTTTCAGGTTCTAGATTGCACCTCACCTTTATGAAGCCTCCGCTTGTTGAGTTTTGGTAAATTATCAAAGAATACACACAACAATTTTTAAAGACTACTAACGTATTCCTCCCCTTTCCAACCACTTATCTGTGGAACACAGAAGTAAGTGGGGGAGTCCAGCCGCCTTCTTGTCAGGCATACATTAAAGAGGTGTGAAAGATGTAAAAACTTACATTCTTCTCACTAGCCTTTTTGGGGGAAATATAATTATTTTTTACTTTAAAAAATATATTAATATACAATGGATTGGCTATAACTATTTTAAGTGAATTAATAAGCGTTTTAAATTTTAAAATTTCTAATATTGTAAATATTAATAAATGTAATCCACAAAAACAAAAACTCTTTTCGGTACTCAGTAAGTTTTCGAAGCGTGAAAATGTCTTGAGGACCAAAACGTTAAGAATCGGTGCCCAGGGAGTGCCACAGGCTGTCCTGATGCAGATTGGCCACAAGGGGGCAGCACTCACCCTGATAATCCCAAAGCCGCCGTTCACTCAAGCAATCTCCCCCACCTCCGCGTCTTCTTCCTACTTCCTTTTTTTCCTTCTCTACACTCTCCCGTGCTGCACAACTTCTTAATTACAGGAAATGATCATCTGCTGAGCATGGTTTCCATCAAAACCAAGTCAGTTACATATTATTCTGCTACTGTTTACCAGGAGTTTCTCAGATGCCGTTTATCATCCAGGGAGGAGTAAGCAGGAGGTCCTGGCTCTCAAGGAGTTAATAACCTAGTGAGGGAAATAAACTGGAAAAAAGAATCTAGTGGGGAGGTGGACCCAAAGACCAGCCCTTAGAATGCAACTCGGGGATGTATGTGAAAGCCCTTTATTTTCTATGTAGGACGGTATATTTCGGAGGGATTCCCGTGAGGCAGGGGAAGCCCACAGGGAGCTAGCCAGGAATTTCTGGAAGGCTCAGGGACAAACTGAGAACAAAAACCAGTCCCGCAAGAGACAAGAGAGGACGGGAAACCAGGAGCCAGGGAACAGAAAAGGAACACCGGGTTTGTCGATGCGGGAGGTGAGTTTCCCAGAACTCACAAGGATT